CCAGTTAAAGGTTAAAAACTGCACTGAACAAGCATTACACACGGGGATGGATATACATGGGGGCACATAGCCTTATGTAAAAGAAAAAGAAAAGCAAAAGTGAACTTTTGTAGAAAATAACATCTAAAGCCATTCTTGAATGGAATGAAAATTTAGTCAATTTATATTTGGCTGAATTCCTTGGCACTTGAAAGAAATGGTCTCAGAGGGTAAATTCTCTCCCAATGAATGTAAAATAAAGACAAAGAAGTGGATCTGCATCATCAGTTCACCGGGTCGTGTAATGTCAAGATTATGATATGAATTTCAGAGGAAGCACTGAGTGCAAAATGCTCAGTTACTCATTGCTGTGACTCCACATGCATAACAGCAATTATTGGGAGAGCCATCATCAGGTCAGGTGAGTATCATGATGATTTCTCTGAAAGAACATGATAAACAAAAAGAATGGAGAGTGTTGGGGCTCAGCAGTTAAAAGCACTGGTTGTTTTTGCAGAGGACCTGGGTTTGATTCCTAGCACCTACATGAATGTAACTCCAGTTCCAGGGGAATCAGATGCCCACTTCTGAGCTCTGCAGGCATTGCATGACACAATATACTTACACACATGCAGGCAATACACTCATATATATAAAATAAAAATAAATTTTAAAAAAGGGTGTTTCACTCAAGACTTCGGAGAATATATTTAAAGACATACCAATTCCTAAATTGCAAAGGTTACATCTCTCACTTATACTGCTCATCTTAACACCAAAATTTAATTAAACTTAAAAATTTTCAAATGTCCTTGAAAATAACAATGTTATTACTACTAGTGAGCTATTACATTGGAGAAAATTTCAACAGCTAAGCCTCCTTCTTAACTTAGCAGGTGTTCTAACCAATTTCCATTGCAGTATGAAACAAGTTTTCTCCTTCACAATAGTATAATCTTTGCATGTCGTGAATCAAGTGGGTAAAGGGAGAGGAATGATTTTACTTTTTTTAACCAAAAAAAGGGGAGGATTACTCTGTCCTTGGGTGACATATTAGATAAATTCAGAAAAGGAAGGACAAAGTAGTCTTAGACATGGCTCGCCCGGGAGTTCACATATTCTAGGCAGTGACTTTGGGGTCATTCACTATTTCTTTAGGATCTGTTCTCTGCTTGCTTCATTTAAGAGTGAAAGCAACTACTAGATGTTTTTCTTTTGGGGTATTTTTGAGACAGGGTCTCCCTGTAGCCACAGCTGGCCTGGAACTCACTATGTAGACCAGGCTGGCCTTGTACTCACAGACATCTGCCTGCCTCTGACCCCCTGAAATGTTCTGATTAAAGGCATGTGCCACCACGCCAGAAACAGCTACTAGATTTTTTTGTTAGCTTCAGATATAGTGAGGAAAGGAAATGATAATTTTAAGAAAACATTTCTTTCATAAAATTTCAGGAAAAATTATGAAATTGAGTCTCATTTACTAAGATTAAACTACATTGGACCAACATTCCATTTCTGAAACTTTCTTGGTATTCAAGGAAAGGGCTGTTCCATGGGCTTAACTAGGGTCAGTTTGATTGCAGACACTGGTCAGACAAAACGACCAGGACATCAAGGAAGGCAAAGAGAAAAGGCAGTTTAGTGATAGATATCTAAATTCACTTAAACCCTCCCCAAGGCATTATACATAATTTAAAATTTTATTTTTGTACTTTCAGACTTCTAAAACTATATAGCCTTCAAAAGTTCACAAAAGTTCAATATTACAGAGTCAAGACTAATTAACTCCAACAGTCCATATCAGTAAGATTCAAGGCTAATTCCTATGGACCATGCCACTAAGTGTTCAGCAATAGGTTTAACACAGAAACACGAAGTTATAGGAAATCAATGGGCTACAAATGTCCAGATAAATTTAGCGAAAGTGCCCAACTTTCAAAAAGAAGCTAATAGACAAAATAAGGTAAGTAGAAAGGATGGAAGACTCTGATGAAGGAAAGCATCACAAACAGGAAATATAATGCAGGCTTTAGACTTCTGACATGGTTATTTTTTTTTTACAGTTAGTCTATTAGTTTATCCTTTTTTTCTTCTATCTTTTATAATCCTTTGTCTGTTTCAGCTCGCCAGAGTGTATTTAAAGATTACTATATTACTTCTTTAGAATGACTAACCTTTCATTCTTTATATTCTTTGAGTTTTCAGTGATGATATAATCAAAATTAATATTTGGTTATTCCCTTCAGGTCTATACTCTTTACTTTTATCATGGCTGTGACAAAAGACTTGACAGAAGCAACTTAAGGAAGGAAGGGTTTATTCTGGTTCACAGTTCAAGGGAATACAGTCCATTAGGTGGGGTGGGTATGGCAGGAGCTGGGGAACTTGGTCACATAGCATCAGAAGTCAGAAAGAGTAAACATAAAGTGAATGGGATTAGACTCGAGTCCAGTCCCCAATAATCCACTTCCTCCAGCAAGACTCCACCTTCTAAAGGTTCCAAACTTTCCCACCAGCTGGGGAATAAGTGTTAAAACAGATGAATCTACAGAAGATATGTCACACTCAAACCACTAAAAGGTTAGTCCTTTCAATTAAGTGCTAGTACCCTACTTGTTCCTGAATTCAGACAGCAAAAAATATCCACAGAGCCAATAAGATATTGCAATGAATTAGGAATCAGGTGTGAAAGAGAAGACGAAGTCACAAATTATTCCAAAGTTACAGGCCTGAGCAAATAGAGGATGGCATTACTATTACTAGGGTCATTGAATACTCAGGAATTTAGACTAATGAAAAAAGGTGAGTCACTCAACTCATATATACATTTTGAATTCATTCATTGTTGGTGTGGGATAGGTAAAGAAGTGAATATAATAACATCCATTATTTCAATGAAGTGGGAGTGGACAAGGCAATTAAGGATACATTTAAGAGCAGAATTATCGTCAGTTATCATAGGAGCTTAGCTGATTGATGGGGGGGGCAGGAGGAAGAAGACATATGCAGCAAAATCGCACAGGTCCATGAACCAGAAATCCTAGCAGAACCTTTAGTAGAGTCAGGAAACAAAGGAAAGGGCATTGAAAACATAGGATACTGAAAGCAGTAAGAACAGGATTCATGATAATGAAGTTGTATTTCCTGATGATGCCCAGATCCAGATTCTGACCAGGGGCATAAGTAGCTCAGGAGGGATTATGAGACAAGGGCAATGGAAGAGGCTAGGGTATTATTGGAAGAGCAATCCATGCAAACACTTAACATAATCACAAATTAAGACTAGGCTTATAATGGAGGGAATGACAGTGATTCAGCCAGGAAGGCAAATTTCAAAGAAATAGTGCGAAGAATGAAATAATTAAACAGGACTCATTATAGCATCTGTTTTGTGTTTCCATTCTTTCCTCAAATAGGTGATTCCATATAAAGAATTCATGGCTTCCTACAAAATACTATTGCTCCTATTAAATCCATTAAATTATCATATTACTGTCTGGTTTATGTTTCATTTTCAAATATTCTAGCATTCAGAACATTAAATGGATATATTAATTAACTGGAAATATGAAAAATGATTCAATATAGATAGTGTAAGAAGTTATAAAAAATTAAGTATATATCACTTATTCCATCAGAGTTACTTAGTAAAATAATTTCAGAAGAGACTTCCTTTGTGAAACTCACAATTTAAATGTATCAAATTCATTTGCATCTATATATTTGAATGTTTGTACTTCACAGGCATAAAGCAGGTGTTCACACACATGAAATATGGTCAGTGTTGCATCTTTACATCCCGTTATGTTTATAAAGTATCTGCTCATGATTCAGAGACACAGCATCATCCTGACACTTGGCTGCAATGTCTAAAGTCTATAATAAACACCATCTGTACTGCCGCATCTTCACAAGTCCTACTCCTTCCCTACACTGGCCTTGTGTTGAATTTGGCATTTGAAACAACCATTACCTAATGATATCTCTAATTTTAAGCCAAAAATTTACCCTTGGGATGTTGTTCTGTCATTATAGTCAACATTTGGAGACAGGTATGTCAGGCACTTTTAATGCTTGTGGATTTGAGCAAGCATTACTAATAAGTTTAGAAGATTTTTTTCTCAACTTGTGATATGATCATTTTCTTGAGTTTAAGAACAGTACTTATACTTTAAGTCCTTGAACTAATATAGGAATTTTTCAAAATTAAATTGTTCATCAAGTTTTTTCCCCTTGGAGTTAGCTGTGAACATACAAAAGCGAAACCAGAGATTTACTGAAAAAAAGTTACTTCTACTTTCATGCATCCTTATATTTGGAAATAGGTAAAAGCTTCTTAAATTCTCTCTCCCAATAGTGATAATATAATTTCAAAGAAGTTACTTGGGTCCCCATGAATGAACATGAATATATTCTATATAATAACTATACAATAGTATTAAAGACTTTCCATATAAGCCCAGACTTATCTGAATCCCAGGAATAGTATGAGGCTCAGGTTGAGAATCCTTTCTATACACTTAAGATCTGATAACTGTGTCTGGGAAAAGTATCATTTTCCTTATACTAGCTACATATGTATAATGAAACATTTCCCTAAGTAGATTTTTTTTCTAATGTACACAATGGAGACATGTTATAAATATCACTGAACTGAAGACAGGACAGGATTGAATCATCCATAAAAATTATACTGAAAATCATTGATACATCCTCAATCTCAATATATATTCAAGGGCAACCTTATTAACCATAGCAGGTTCCCCAGGTATTCTCTAGATATATTAAACTGAAGGCAAAATGACTTACACTTTCAGCTTCTGAAAGTACTGCCACTCTTTTCAAGACAACAAAGAGATCCTCCTAGATAAAACAGCCAAATATCTAAGACATTCTAAAGTATGAAATGTACAGAGTCCAGTTTTACAAAATTATAGAGTAAATATAATTTAACAAAAAAATTCAGGGAGATGACAACATTCTGAGGTTTGACCTTCCTGTTAGTCTGAAAGATCACTTACCAGATATCTCTTCCAGGCACTGCTTAGCAGTCTTACTATAGGATGAGTCCATCTTTGTTGGGCTGGTACAAGAGTCAGCAGTTGGTAAAGAGGTTCCTTCATTTTCTGAATGTGCTCTGAAATTAACCAAGGAGACAGAAACAAACAGCCAGTGTGGTCATTAATGACTCATCAGTGTAGAAGTTCTTAGCACAGGAAGAAATCAGTTTATTGCAATTTTAAATCTTTTCTTGTGACCGGAGTGTTCTAGGGATGTCTATCTGTATGAGGATTTTGGTATTTATTTTTTTATATACCACCCAAGTAAGAATGAGGTATTGAATTAAGAGTGAGGTAAAACTAAAGCTCTTGAATTTTTCAAAATTAAAATGCTTGTAGCTACTTTATTTAACATTGGCAATGGGAGCAAAATGCTTGCAGAGACAACGGTATAGTTGTGTTAGAGAATATCTGGCCAAGTTGTTTACTAAAGCATTGAAATCACAACTAGAACTTTCACTGATCTTTCATGTTATGTGTTATATTTTATATATGTAAATAATGTACATTTTGTACATAATTAACAAGTAAAAGTTTTTCTAATGAGATGGATAGCATTTTTGATATTCCAATCTTATTTTTTGCATTTTCTTTCCTATATACCTAGGTAAACATTCAAGAGACCTTCTACTTTCGGCTTCAAAAATGTACACATACTTGATCCAAACCCATATCTTTGGAAAATTCACAGCCTGAACTCCTAAGACACAGAAGGAGGCATGCAGGCTCAGCACCGACACAGCTGGACAGTGTTCTTTGTAGGTACGGAATTTGTCTTGACGTTCCATTGCCAGTACTGAGTCTGAACCAGGCAAAAATCTATGACTATCTCCTATGATACTAATATCTGTAGAAATAGTTTTTGTAGAAGATATATTTAGTATGATTTTAGTTTCTTTTAATTATCTATTACTTTTATTCTAAAATCCTGGTTTTGAGGAAAATAAAATGTAATCATTGATACAAGAACTAGTTGATATTTGCCAAGCACCAGAGGGTAGGGCGTGTAATCCCAGCACTTTGGAGGTAGAAACGGGAGCATCAAGACTCTAAAGGAGACAGACACAGTGAGATCTTGTCAGAGACAGGGAGTAGAGAGAGGAACAGGAATAAGAGGAGGAGGAGGGGGGGTGGGGGAGAGGAGGAGGATGGGGTGGGAGGACAGGGAAAGAAGAGGGAAGGAGAGAAGAGGTAAAGAAAGGCTGGGGAGATGGGTCAGTCAGTAAAGTGTTTGCCACACAAGCACGACCTGTGTTTGGCTCCACCACATCCAATTTGCCAAGCACCAGAGGGTAGGGCGTGTAATCCCAGCACTTTGGAGGTAGAAACGGGAGCATCAAGACTCTAAAGGAGACAGACACAGTGAGATCTTGTCAGAGACAGGGAGTAGAGAGAGGAACAGGAATAAGAGGAGGAGGAGGGGGGGTGGGGGAGAGGAGGAGGATGGGGTGGGAGGACAGGGAAAGAAGAGGGAAGGAGAGAAGAGGTAAAGAAAGGCTGGGGAGATGGGTCAGTCAGTAAAGTGTTTGCCACACAAGCACGACCTGTGTTTGGATCCACAACATCCATGCAAAAAGCAGGATTTTTCTGACAACCAAGAAGAAATATACATTAATGGGCATTATATATCCATTGGAGATTTAGATGAAAGTACTGGGATGAATTTTAGAAGCCACGTGTGGACAGATCATGATTGATTAGTGAATATAACTAAGACCAAGGCAAACCATAAGAATCATAGGCTATGTCTTTGAGGAACTTTCTCAAGTTTGGCCCTCTGAATAGCCTTTGTATGACCTACAACGGCAACGTTTAGTGATTTTCTGAAGGTAAGAAGAGGGAAATCCAGAATACGGAGAAGCAGCCTGCACATGTACAGAATTCAACTCACAATTTTTGCTCAGCAAATCTATCCCTTTTTTTCAAAAAGTCCTTGGTGGCAACTCCTGTGGATTCTACAGGGCCTGACTGAGCACTGAGTGGCCTGGTCCCTATCTACTTCCTCGCATCCTCTTGAATAAATCTCCCTGTTATACCTTCCTCTATGGCCACAAGGATTTTCTACCCAATTCTCAGAGCTTTCTGTCTCAACAAAATATTTGCACTTGATTGTTTTCCTTCCTACTTTATCCTGTGTAGTTTTTCCTTTCAAGTCTGAGCTCAAGGACTCGACTCTATAAAAAATCCTCTATAGTTTCACCAATCATGTGAAATACCCATTTGTAAGTACTTAGTGGTCTTTGATCTTAGTGATCTTTTTTTTAATTACTTCAGACACCCGCAATATGAAATCAGTGTAATTACTGATTAGTTATTATCGCCCAAATTATAGTCTGTTCTCCATGTTTAACATTACAATTATAAACTAATGTCTAGTCTTCTGTCTAGTATTCTGGTTCCATTCAACAAATATTTGATGAATGAATGAAAAATTCATATCCACAGTAATAGTAAATCAGCATTACTTGTGGTTAAAACACAAGGAAGGAAATTAAGACCATGGCATACACATTCATTGGGGCATAAAATTTGAGGTTATGATTATTATTAACTCAAGTCATATTGGCAAGTTACTTAGCATCCCTGAACTTCAGTTTAACCATATGTAAAAAAACCAAAAATATCAACCTTGCTTAATAATTGTGAATTTAACCATTACTATGACCAAAGTTTCAGAGAAGTAGTCTTCTGGGCCATGTTGTTTATAGTCAACATTAAGTGAAGGAATACCTATGCCTCTCTTGCTGTCTATTTCAATCCTTTTACCTCCTGGGGTCCCCCATATCCACTATCTACTGATTGTCCCACTGCCCTGTCTCTAGAGTCCCCCATATCTAGTCATGGTTCCTTTCTTGTGAACTAGTATATTTTCCTGACAGCACCTTTATCCTTCTTTTTGTCTGAATAACAATGCAAAGTCCTCTGAAGTTTGTTAAGGGTTCTTACTACATGTTGAACATGTATTTAAATAAATGTAAACAGTGAGTATGAGGTTAGGTTGGAGCCCCTAAGGAAAGTTGCCTGATTGATGGCCAAGTAGTAGCACAAAGATTAGCCCTCTTTGACAAGCTGCCTCTGACCAAGGATTGGCTGAGAATCCCATAGGTTCATTATTTGTAGACTGATATCCCAGAAGCTGAGTCACATTAAACTGTTTTCTGAGATGACTGTCTAAAGCCCATCGCTAATTGGCTCTTATTAGACCAAGACCAGCAGCTGTCATGGGAGCCAGAATACTTGTGATCCACGTTAGACAATTCACAGGTTCTCTCTCTATATATGAAAATATATATGAAGCAAGAGACTATTCAAAATGTCCTTTTGGGAGTAGTGATTTTTCTCTACTTATTTTTCTCTGTCTTCAAAAGCATTCCTGAGCTGATTTGTGGCTACTTTTCTGACTGTATGAGACTGTTCTCAGCCTCACTGGCTAAGCACCTTATTTGAGATGTTCTTTTATAATCTATATTCACATTTTAACTGTTAAGCACTAAACTGGAAGCCTTTATTTTCTTAGTGTGACAGTGCATATTTCTGACTTGTTTATTCTTTGCTGTTTTTTGTTAGTTTAAGTCACAAGATGATCTCATTTATTTTCAAGTTCTTAAGTGTACTTCCCATGGCACTCTATGTAAGTTATTTACATTAACAATTCATCTGTAAGGCAACAGATTAAATTGTTGAAAAATAACATAAGAAGCTAAGCTTCAAATCATTATGAAGAAAACTTAGAAATCCTTCTTGTTTTATGTTTACAAATGAATGGGACCAGAAACTCTATTCTTTGTATTTTACAAGTCTATAATTTATCTATTATTTCTATGCATAGCTCAATAAAACATAATTAGATTTTGACTCTGATCAACAGAGATACAATTAATGCCATTTGGTAAAGATTTATCTTTTCTACAAATAATCAAAGAAGTAGTTAAAATTCTGGCCAATCCCCAAATGACCTCTATTCTTTTAACTATTATATGCTAACAGAATAGAAATAACTGACTCATATCATGAAACAATTTATAAAGACTTCAAAATCAACAGGTATATTTTGACAGAGTGAACACTGCAAGGGCATAGTTCATTGTTCCCACACAAACTGACATCTCCTTCATATTGGCTGGAAAATGAAAATGAGGACAATGGTGCTCCTTAAAAATAATTATGAGAGCTGGCCTGGACAGACTTACTATGGCTCTGCAACATGGCCATCACGCTATATTTACCTATTGAAAAGTTGGTATGTAGCTTGGAAAAACACTGCTTAATATATGTAAAGGTCTATTCAGCCAGCCCCACAAGATGTTACTAAAACTTGTAGAAATTAGAAACTAAATCTCACAAATTATAAGCATAGAGCAAATTCTCCATTTTTAATGTGCTTACTCTATACCAGGTGTGTGCCTGGTGTAATATCTATGCAATAACACTGGAACTTAATCCAATCCTGTAAGGTAGGTGCTAAAGGTAAAGAAATTAAAACTTTTAGCCATCTGATCATTGGTCCCAGACAAGAATTAATTGATGCATGAACTAGGTTGTAGATGTTGAAATATTAACCACTACTCTCACAATTAATGCATTCAAATACCTCTGGACAGTTGAGTACAGAGCATTTGGACTTGAGTCTTTCAATACACTTGACTATTGTATTTGAGGTTCTCCTAGCTAACAGACACTCCAGTCACTGTTAGTAGCAGACAATACTGAACAGAACAACATTAACTGATCTATTCTAAATGTTATTCTTTACTTACTGTCCATTTAAGGAACTTGGTAATACATCCTAAGTACTAGCAAATTAGAAATTAGATGACTATATGCATATTGACCTAAATTTAAAAATATAATTAATGATGGAAATGTGTACAGTGTATATACACTCACACACATATGGCTTAGTTTTAACACTTAGAAAACCGAGAAACAATAACAAAATTTGAATAATCGCTCTCCATCAAAACAAATCAAGGCCCATTAAATTACAGATGAAGTCAATTTAGGGAACATACAGGATGAGTCAAAAACACACTGGGCCACAAAGAAAGAGATTTTCAAAAAGTGGTTAGGTTGTGAA